ACGAACTCGTTGGAAGCTGCTAGTAGTCGATAGCCTTATCGCCGGGAGGGATGGCTTGGTTCGAACAGCTAGAATTCGTTTTAGCTTAAAGAAGTTTTTCTGTTGTTTAGTTAAAACTGTAGAAATAATACGTTTGGGATTTTATTAAGTTAGTTTATACAAGATTTATTTTAGTTCGATTGTATAGGGAAGCTATAACCTTATTGAACGATTAAGTAATAGAAAGAGCTTCGAAACACGATGCTATCTTGTTTGTACGAGGGGGCGTAGCCCCCAAGTACTAATCATATTGCTGAGTGTGTTTTTGTGTTTTTTCTTTTTTTTATCATAGTCAAACATATAAACACGTTCCCTGTTGTCACAATATGAAACCCCAGTAAGAAAAGTAACCAATGAACGAGCATCTGAATATGGTGTTTCTGTCGCATTCCCTTTCCCTGCTGTCATAATAAGTAAACCCCAGCAAAATGAGCCAATCAATTGACATGCTCTGGAGTGCGGGTAACTTATACCCGCACTTCAGTTAACGCACTGTTCATGTATATGTATACGATTTAACTCGGACATATTTTCAACTTAAAGGTCATCAAACCTTAATACAATTTACGTTATCATGTTCGACTCAATCTTTTATCAAGATGTACCTGTTTATATAGATAAATTATTCAAATATGTAAAGAGATAGCGAGGTCATTAATTGTATAAATGTTGAATTATTATATTAATTGTATTTACATTAATTTAAAATTACCAACTTGCTACTTACCTTTTTCGGTACAATAAAAAAATTTATACCGAGAGTAAGAACATTTTTTTATCGAAACTGTACAGCGTTCTGAATAACATTACTATGAAGCCATTAATATTCATTTGTAAACAGAGGTGATATTTGTGGCCACTATTGCGCACGACTTATTTATCTCGTGACAACGACTTAGCAACTCGTCACCAAGACATAGAATCTTGTGCGCACGACATAATTATCTCGTGGTCACGACTTAGTAATTCGTGGCCATGACATAATATATAGTGCCCTCTACTTAATTTCTCACGAAAGCGACTTAGTAACTCGTGGCCACGACACAGTATTTCGTGCGCACGAAATAAATTAAAACGCACAAATGTCACCTCTGTGCCACCGTAAATGCATTTATCGCATGCACAAATAAAATCCGACAGCGTTATCTGGTGTAAGATAAAATTTGACACGGTTGCATACGATACATTAGATACGTATACATGACTTACATAAGGCAATTTCATTCGTTAAATATAAAACCAGAAATGTTTCGACTTACACAGTGCATAAATTATAGATTGTAGTGAAACGACCAACATAGTCAATACTGTAACTCGACCTTACTTCCTCCCAAAAGGGACTTTGGAATGTAGCCCGATATATTTACAAAGCAACTAAAGAAGGGTAGCCATTTAATGTAAAAATTAAGTTCTGTTTTCTACTCTTTATAGACAGGTTCTTATTGATCAAATTTTCAATGTATCGGCTGTTCAGGCTCTAGCTCAATGTGTCCACTGAAAATCAAATGGCTAACATATTGTGTCATTTTATAAATCCTGTACCAGTTGAACGATTTTCTTTAAATTTTACTCAACGTGGCTGTATGCAAAACCCATGGCTCTGCTACACTGACTGACAATCAAGTGAACCTTGGAGATCAAATATCAGACACGTTTGTGTCCGCTTAATTTTTCTTCAAACTGAGGAAAACTTTGTCCTTAACAGCTGGCAAAACTTTTCTGCCACTGTTCATTTGTCTCTTTTTCGAAACTTACCTTAATGAAGAAGACTGTTGTATCTAAGACAACCAATCATTAAAATACAGGATAGTCAACTTCTCGAAAAGGTCCTCCTGCAAGTGATAGCTACAAAGTGAAGGCATATAACACGTAAGAAGTTTAGTACGAGAAGTGACCCGAAAGATTGATTACAGCGTTTATAACGCGTTATGCAGGAGTATAGCAGCCACCAAAGTCAGTATCAATATTGTAAATTGTATCGTTAAGTCAAGTTTGGCGTGCATCAAACAACTGACTGATAAGTTATAGAAAGAGCATCGAAACACGAAGCTGTCTGATTTGCACGAGGGGCGCAGCCCCCAAGTATTAATCTGATTACCAAGTGTTTGATGTTCTTTCTCTTTTGTTTCATAGTCAAACATAAAAACACGTTCCCTGATGTCACAATATGAAACCCCAGAAAAATTAACTAATGAACGAGCATCTGAATATGATATGTCTATCGCTGTCCCTTTCTCTTCGTCACAATGAGTAAAACCAAGCAATACGATTAAACCCTGACATATTGTCAACGGAAAGGTCCCCAAACTATGATACATCTTTTGAAAATGTTCAATCTTATACATGTACAGTGCGTTAACTGGAGTGCAGGTATAAGTTAATTGTGACGGCAGGGAAAGGGATTACGATAGAAATATCATATTCAAATGCTCGATATTGGTAACTTTTTTTCTTGGGATTCATCTTGTGACAACAAGGAACGTGTTTTTAAATTTGCCTATGATACATAAGAGAAACAAAACATAAGATAATTTGATTTATACTCGGGGGTCACGACCCCCACCCTCGTAGAAATCAGATAGCCTCGCGTTTTGATGCTCTTTCTATTACTACATGTAGTTACAACAGAATATAAAGGCCGCCAGGGACATAGTTTTTCAAACAACATACATTGTCGCAACGTCAGTCGTCAAGGTAACGTCATAACGTGATAAATATTATGCAATTTACAGTACCGTTATTGAAACCAGTTTGTAAATGTTAACGTTGCGAACCTCTTAAAACGTGTCTGACATAAGTATGACGTTTGCAGCCGTTCGTGCTCCTAAAAGACATGTCCTTGCACAAACATCCTGTGAAAGTCATATTTTCCCCTCGAATGCCTGCTAACCATTTGCAGACAAGTCTTTTGTTCACAATATAAGCTTTACGCTTTACAGCCACTGGACTTCAGATATAAAATAAAAGAATGTAATAGAGTCTCAAGTAAACGGTAAATACTGATATAATTAGTTTTGATGAGTAAATCTATATTACTGACATCTAAATTCAAGAAAGTATGTTGACAAAGGCTTCAATATATCGTTTTTCTTCTTTGCATATATGTTTTTCTTCTTTGCATAATGTACTCTGTTATTAACGATGTACCTAATATAATTAGGAGAAGATAATTCATTAAACAAAGTCACGTGTCACAACAATGGTTCGGAAAAATCCCGGTACCCGGTACGCCCGTGTAAAATATCAATTTTTGTCAACGAGTAGGCCCGAATCATATATCAATCTAAAATTTAGATCGATATATTGGTCATCATTTATATGACATATTTAATTAGATATCAATTATAGTACCACAATTTTTTACAAATATCACAACCAAAGCAGTTTGTTCGTTTCCCTCTGTGTTTGATGCGATTCTGGATTCCGTGCGTTGCGGGTCACAGGCCGCGATATTCTCCTGTTTAATGACCTGGTATGCGACAAATATCCGGATGTAAGAATTCCATTGTAAAAAAGAGAAGGTTTTGCCCGTTGCGGAGAAGCGACTTATTGATTTTTTTAACAAAAATGTTTTAATATGAACATTTTAAAGAGTCATTACGATTTCTTTCAACTATATAATTTTATTGAGAAAGGATTTTGAAATATTATTAAAAATGTTACTTTTCTGTTATCGTCTTGAGGCCTGGTGCTTTGATTTACTGCTGTCATTGCTTCTAATCGCGATTTGCCCAGCTTGAAGTCAAATGTAAAATCGCATTTTGCGACGTATTATTTCAAGTGTGTATTGTTTCTGTGGCATACGTCAAGTGTGCTCTAAGAACATAAACGTTCAAATAAGTCTTTCAAATTTTAACTGTTCCTTAAACTGTCAAATTACATCACTGCACAAAAGTTTCTTTCGCGTAATGTTCTGGAAAAATATGTTAATGGCAACATTTAAAAGATAAGAATAAGTATGCGGCTGTACGATTACATTGGTAATATCAAGTGCTAATACATGTATATCATAATAACATTATACATGTGAACACGGATTGTTTATAGTAAATAAAATACTAATGTTTTGATAGCCTACACTGCTTACGTTAGAAACACTTAAAAATGTCAAGCCAATTGATCAAAACACATCAAATCACTTGGCAATCTACCTGTGTTGTGCATTCAAAGTTAGTTCACGGGTTTTAACATTTTAACTTACTGCAAAATAATTAAAGGGAGATAACCTCAATTGTTATATACGTAAAACATACAACGGTAAAGTCATCTAAGTAATATTTAACGGGTAAATGATGAAATAGAGCAATGTTAACAAATACATATATCTTTCTATTTATCATAAATAAGTATTTATTATGCCATGTTTTGGCGACTTAAAGTAATAGATTTATGCTTTTGTTATACATTATTGCTCTTTAAAAACGATAATTATATTGTTATACCAAATTATGTTAAAACAAAGTCAAAAAAAACTTGTGTAGAAAATGCTACTGTATAACAATCTAAACCGTAATTAATTCAAACTGTCCGCCTATAAATTACATGTAGACAATGTCATGTTGCATAAAATACGAGTTCAACAACTGTATTTGCATTCCATTGTAGATTAAATTTTAACAAAGAGATAACTTCCTTAATTATCAAACAAATGACCGTCTGTTGTTTGTTTTGTTTTTTGCAATGATATGTTTTGCAATCTGTGATAAAGATTTTTCTCATTTACACTTTACAGTCATTTGTTAAATTACCTCTAAACCAGATAATCACAGATGAAATTAAAGAGAAACAAAATGAGTGGAAATATGAGGTTTTGTTTCTCTTATCATATTATTTAACCATAAAAAGTAAACAAAAGATAAAAATTTCAGTTTAAATTCACAAGCATGATTTAAATGTTGATCTTATTGCATATTGGTACATTGTATTATCACATTTATAAATACATGTATTTTTTCATTCAGACTGACCTGTTTCGAAAATTCTATAATGGAAAGTGAGGAACTGGATTCAGAACTATTTACAAATTGAGTGCGAGGCTCAAAAGGACTAGAATACTTACAAGAAGGTCTTCAAGAATTTGTTGGAGAAAAAGTACTACAATGTCGTGATAATACTCTTCAAAAGATAATATTGACATTACCATCTGGATTACCACAGCAGTGCAACCAGTGTACGGAAAATAATCTTTCTCCAGAACATTTCAACACTACCAAGGCATGTAGCAGACACACATGTCACCAAAAGAGCCCGACCAACTGTTTTGGAAGCAGGCCAGTCGGGCGTCGGAAATGCCCTGACGGCATATGTAGTAAATTTTACGACGCTATTATAGATGAGCATGCATTTAGAGACCCATTATGGAAGGACACGGATCCAAGTACGTGGTGTACGGATCCACGTGGATGGAGTTATGCAAAATGTTTCCAAACAACTAAAGGTCCAGGGACATCAGCTAAAGATACAGACGCTGCTGGTCTGCTCAGCATTATTATAAACAACACGTCAATGCAAATCTTTGTGGCCAATATTAATCCTTATACCACTACCAGTTCATTTCTTTTGGTAAGTACATGAAACGGTCAGATTTGTATATCATCAAAAAGCAATTCTTTAATTACTGAATATACATGTACATACCACCTGTTTAAAGTTTTATCATACAGTCATTTTATTTAAAAGATAACCGTAATCAACAAAATCATTTTGTTCGATAACCTGAAATGTAAACATTCAAATATGAATTCAAACTTTCTTCAATATGGGATAAAAAGTATAAAAATAATTAAAAGTTTTTACCAATATTCCTTAACAGCAAGCAGAAAAATAATGTTCTATATGTTAAAACATATATTTAAATAAGAAACAAAATAATAATGGGAGTTATTTGTTTTGATTCCCCATCTACATAAATGTATATTTTATAAAACTTTTTTTCAGGCGAGAGACTTCCGAAATGAAATCTTACATTATTAGCTCAAAGCTTGAAATCGACGAAACAAATCTATGTTCTTATTCGGACGAGTTCATTGCAGTTCTTCAAGATCCAAAGTGTCTGATTAACGATTGTGCATCAAAGAAAGCGGTTCATAAACTAACACAGGTATGTAATATTATTTTACATCACAAATCATATTTACTCATGTTTTAAATGAATTATAGCTTTGTTTTCAATCGCTAATTGATTTCCTAAGGTATGACACCCGACTGTGTTTGACCTAATTTTGTACACTACTTTTAAATGACGACTGAATAACATATGATGACGGAAATATTATATAAATTACAATAAGCTTATTGAATTAATTTTCACTTTCTCTTTTACTCGATACTTGCTTTTGCGTGCTTATGTATGTATGCATGTATGTATGTGTGTATGTATGTGTGTGTGTGTTTGTGTGTGTGTGTGTGTGTGTGTGTGCGCGCGCGCGCGTGTGTGTGTGTGTGTGTGTGTGTGTGTGTGTGTGTGTGCGTGCGTGCGTGTGCGTGTGTGTGTGTGTGTTGCTGTGTGCGTGTTTGTGTGATTACTACAATTTTTAAGTCAACTTCAATTTACATTAACGATATTACAATATTAAAATCTGGATCAAGTGTGATCTCTCGGAAGCATTAATCAAAACAAAATTACAACAAAATTACATGAAAATCTTTATTCTTTATATATCCACTGACGTCCAAAAAAAACAACAACAAAACTTACAAGTACACAAAACCGTTTCACGTCATATTCTACTAATGCATCTTAAGCATTAGAACAATTTTCAGCCTGTGGCAATAAGTGTACTTAAAATATCTGTTAAGATATTTAGATATAAAATATGACAAAAAACAACAACAAAATGTTCATAATTCAATACAGATGGCTTTCAAAACTTTTGATGAAATAATTCAGATTACGCAAACCAATTTATTGTGATGACAAATACACGTGCAGTATAAATTACGAAAAAGTGAGTTATATTTGAATGCTAAATAAATAAAAAAAAAACACTTACAGGACCAAGAAATTAATAAAATCATGTCATGGTAATAACAGATGAACCATAAATATCTTCCCTCGGAAACATCAATAAAAGCATAATTACATGCAAACTGCAGGGTCGATTTGATTAAGTCTGTACATGAGCATTATTGAAAAAATGCAAGCCCCATAGCACTGGCTTTAGTAGTACTCAATATTCAGCACTTAAAAGTGATAAGGTTTACGGTTTTTGAATATTTGCCTTAATCTGAAGTATCAAGTTGTATCTACAGTCTAATTTTGAGTTTTTGTTATTTTATTTTTGATTTGAATTTTTGTTGTTCTCATTCTCTAGATTTTCATCGGTGTCTTGCTTATGTACGCATATTTTTTTTAATTTAGAAGTAAGTTGTGCAGCATGAAATGCAACAAATAGGAAAATTCCTTGTCCTCCTATTAGTACAATGAAACAATAATCAAGAACATCAGATTCAAAATATTCATTAAGGAATCCAAACATCCATGCTATCCCAGTCAGCAATAGTAGCCTAAAATATACAGTGGCGTATGTAACATCACGTGATTTCCTTCCGGCCATTTTGGTTGTTGAGTTTATTGTGATAATGATATAGAAATAAACAAAACAGTTGACAACGACAGTGCAGAATAGAGGGAGTGCAAAAAGTATTAATCGCATGGAAGCTTCGTCGATATAGCAGAGGAAACGACCGTACCCGATTGTGTCATTTTTAACCTTAGAGTATGTCACATTTGCAGCAGCAAAGCAAGCAGACAAACCATATACAAATAGTAGTACTCTAACCAAGCCATGTTTATCTGCTTCGTTGTCATTTCTTACAGCCTGCAATTTTGCAGCAACTAAAACGCAAAAGGCACTCAAAAGGAAAACAGCAGAAAGCCAGATGAAATGTATAAATCCTCCAATGAAAGCACATACTTGAAAAGGAAGTGATGGTTTTCCGACTCCAAACTGAAATACCACCTGTGCAAGTAATACATGACATAAAGCTAGCCTGAACACTTTGCTTGGTAGAGATTGTGTGTTTGCCGACATAGAATATACCACAAGACATATAAGTATACATAGTATTGACAGAGAGGATAAAATAAGGGTTATCAGTCCTTTTATTGAATAACTACTGGTTTTTGTAATCGGCGATTTTTGAGTTAATGATATAAAGGTTTCATGGCATACAAAATACAAAGTTATAGATTCATTATTAATATAGTATTCTCTTGACACAAAACCATCTATTGTATTTGATTCATAGTGACCTTTTTTGCCTTGTTGTATCCGAGTTGAAAATTTATTTATCGATGCAATCTTTTTGTATTCTGTTTCTAGCAAATAAATGTATGGACAAGGGAGAGATTCAGTTTCAACGGGATAGAAATTAGAAAATTGGTCAAGGAAAAACGTTGAATTAGAATGATATTTTCTTTCGATGTCATATAATTCTTTTCCTCTTATCAAAGACAAGTTTGAAAAATCTGATGGAATCGGAATGTTAGAAATTAATGTAAAATTTTGAACAGTGACATTAAATACGGAAAATGATTCATTCCAATCTTTGGAAAATGTATTTGCAGAAAAGATATTTTGCAGAAAATTTGTGCCACAAGACCTGGTCCTATCAATGTATGCATCGACTACTATGAAGTCAAGAACACGTTTTGATTTAGAAATGTAGTATCTTTGTATAAATTTTATATAAGTGCATTCAGTCAAGTTTGATATTTGAATAAAATCCTCAACATTTAGCATAAACTTGCTCTGAAAATAAAAATTAGCATAGATGGTTTGTTTTATATGTATCGTAAAGGAAAGTGTAAGCGTCGGGTTTACAGGATTAACTTGAGGCTTTTTACAACCATTGTGTTTTGTGACGTTTGGAAACGGACATCTCAGTCGCCTACATTTGCCCTGAAAAAAAAAGAATAATTGTAATGATGAAACATAGAAAAATGTTTTTAATTTCAGATGCAAACAACAGACCGTTTGTACGTCTGTCTGTCTATCTATGTGTAAGAAATTTCTGATAGATTCTTTTGCTTTCTTGTTTCCATATAATAGGCTAAATAGAAGAAATAAGTTTTGATTAATTTTCAACATATGCATTTTCAAACTTTAAAAACTGCCTAATGCTAAAATTTCACCAAAGAAGCAGTATTTGGCATTTAAGATGTTTGTGTTGACAAAATTTATGGACTTACAAAGAATGTATCTCTGATTTCATTTTCACCACACCTTTCATTCAGATCAATAAATGTGTTAGGGTAGTTGTCATCATCCTCGCCATAAGCATTTAGATCGAGATTTAGTATATAATTCAGAGAGACAAACACACCCGGACCCTCCTTAGGGCATATGTCAAGAATGGTGTAGTCTTCCGGTACGATGCATAATAGGCAAAACAAATTTTTCGAGACAGTTCTTCTCTGAACGACTGTAGGTACTGAAAAATAAATTGACAATTATTTAGAATTCTGTTACAATTCATGTAAAATCTGATATTTTCTTACCTTTTATAAGTGTTGCCATTTTTTTCGAAAGAACTCTGGAAAAACCAAGGTGTTTTTGCACAGTCTGAGATTTTTTTTTTTCAATTCAAAATAGTTTATAGAAAATAGATAAACAAATTGAATGTGTTACTTTTTCGTCATGTAAGGCCTAAAGCCAAAAATATAACCGTATTTTGAGTTTATCACAATGAAAGTAAAGTGTTAATATAACAATAATTTTAAAATGAATTGGTTTATAATGTCAGGTTTGCATTACAATAAATAAAAATGTGATAATTCATTTGTGTGAACCAAGACAAATTCATTTGCATGTTAAAATGAAGTGTTTAAAAAGCGATATTAGATGGAGTAAAAATATGGTGTAATTATTTTAAACTTATTAATCGTTTCATATCGTTTCCTTTAATCATTTGCATTTAATCAATAAAAGTTGTCTTTAAAGTTTTTAAATTTATTAAAAGGGGTAAAAAAGGGGATTGTTGTATGTTTTTAAAAAGGGTTCAGTATTTGGGGGTTTATAGACTGTCTCAATAGTTCACTTTAAATTTTTGACAAATACTAAATTTTCTTTAAAAATAAAATTAGTATTATAAAAAAATTTTTTTCTGTTAAAAAGTTGATTCAGTTAAAAGGTCAGGTCGCGGCCTTTACGAAGGGTAAACATGGCGAAAGAAAACTACGTAATGTTTGTATATGTCGTCGGCTTAGTAGGGCGTATTAGAGTACAAAATATAATTAAACAGATTAATTTCGCTTATGTTAGGTCTATACATTTGGATGTTTACCTCATCCATATATAGTTATCATTAAGTAATAGTATAGTAAGGTATTTCAGATTTAGAGCGCTATTTAAAACCGGTCATCTTAGAAACCTAACGAAAACATAATTACGGAAGCGCCCTGGTGCTTATTCATAATGTGCTAAAAACAAGAATGTCTCCTAAAAAATCATAAGTTTATAATTCCTACCAAGGAGATTAAAATTCTAATTCGGATTACTTATCTCCTAAGAAGGAGAGAGAAAGGTCTTTTTATGAGGTTATAGCTTTGAGGTAGGACTTTATTACGTTGGATATAAAAAGCCTTATAAGTGGTTTAAATTTTATACGATATAAACTCCTTGTTCGGCTCAAATGCTGTGAGGCAGTTGTAAAAAGTTGCCCCGTACTTCACTTCAGCATTGTTACATTTTTCTGGTCCTTCGGGATTCTTGTCACCAACACTTTTGAGAGTTGAAAATTGAGTATAGCGTTTGAGTACCGTTCAAGTCGGTGCTAGGGAGCGTGAGGGATGTTGCATTTTTTCATTAACCCTCAATCAAACCGAATCTTCAATTTTCATGTCGTTTTTTTTGTTATAAATTCTACCGTTGGATCACTTTTTTCCTAGATTTTTAAACATGTAAAGTGTCGTAATGCAGCTGTAAAAAGTTGACCCGTACTTCACTTCAGCATTGTTATATTTTCATGTCCCTCGGGATCATTGATTCCAGCACTATTAAGTGTTAAAATTAAGAACCACTCAAGCCGGTTCGAGGGTCATGACGGAAGTCGTACTTTTTCATTATCCCTCATGTGCAGACTCAATCAACCTGAGTATGCAATGTTTATGTGATTCTGTTGTGATTAATGCTTCCTATGGATCACTTTTCTCCATAATGTTTTTCTCTTCCGTGAAGGTTAACATCAGGGATGTTATTTTCCGGTCCTTAAAGTCATTCAGCACGACATAATTGTGGTGCTCGTGGTATTATAGGTATTTCCTTTTAGATCTTTCCATTAAAATAATTTCTTGTTGGGTGGTATCAGTATTCCTAACTTGAATACTGTTGAATCACAGCATATACCGTACCTTTAAGATTTGTCTTTTATCTGTGATATGCAGGCTTCATAACCTTTTATCTCCTTTCAAATTTCCATTTTATTTAGTTCCGCCCATTGTTTTCGGTTAAGGGCAAATGCATTTCTTACTTGGGGACCACAAGCCGCTTTTCATGGAATGGCACTAACGTGTCACATTGAAGGTTCCATGATAACCCCCATCCATGAACACATCTGCGGATGCTTCAAAATTCCTAAATTTACCAGTTCATGGTAATGTTGAATTCTGCTTAAGCCGGTGCTAGGGGGCGGGGACGGTTACTTGCACATTCCATTACCACTCATATATATTTTATTTTCTACGTTGGATTTCTTAATATAATACCAAAATAGGCTTTTCCTTCATCTACGTATGTTTTACAAAGTCCTCATTAGGCGTTTTAATCTGCTAAGTAGGAGTAAGTCTTTTTATAGAGTACTATTAATCGGCAAAAGGACGCTTCCATTTATACTACATTTATCGTTAATTTTTAGTTTATAATCATGGCCAATGAATTTATTATTTTGAAAGTATTTTAATCTAAATCATTGCACGGGGATAATTTCCAAAATATTAACAATTATTGCGTCCTCATTCGTTGACTTCTAGTTAAACGTGTAACACCTTGAAACCTTGAATACTAAATAATATTATTATATTTCTTAAATTAAATAATTCACAACGTACACATATTGTTGTCACACAGTTGCCCAAGTTCGGTATCGTAACGTTCTGCACACTTGCCAGGAGGTTGGATAATTAACCCCCTACAATTTAACTCTGAAACATCAATATCATCTGGTGGTTCGGAGAAAACTATACATTCTACCATTACGTAGGAAAACAACTCGTTACCTTCCAAGCCCATGGAGTACGGGTCATCTTTACAACTTCTTACAGAAAACTTCCATCTGAAATTATCAATATCATGCAATGTTGTTAATATCTTATATAAGTTACCAAACATAAAGCGGAACAAGAATTAGCAAGTATTAACATGCATATTAAATAATAGTTAAATCACAGCGGAGCAAATAGTAAGTCTACTATATAAGAGTTTGGCAAATGATACTGTACAGAATTAGATAAAAAAGGCAATAGATTTAGCTCCTTAAGTACTGAGCGGAAAAAGAAATATGACGCATTTGAGGGAAAACGTTTCTCTTTTTTTGTAAGCATCAAAAAACAATCTGATTAAAATCAGCTCTAAATATCGCACCACTTTTAGATCTGACCGTGACCCAATACGAAATCATTTCTGGTGACGTGTCACTTAACCAATCATCGGCAAACTTTCATAATTTTGAAAGCTTTGTGGTTTCTAATTTTTACTCTGGGTAAACCAATGCTGAGTAGGTAGTTCTCACGATTTCGAGAACAAACATGGCCTTGTCCATATAGCCGACAGGTAAACTGGCCATTAAAATTGACTCTATTTTGTTAGAAATTACTTTAACATGTTTTTTTTCTAACAAATATCAACAATTTGTTTAACTTCCACGGATAATGGTATTTTGACACTTCTTCTATGGCTATGTAAAAACCAATTTGATTGCATGGCTAAAAATAGATTTCTCGGGAAATCCGAATTATAAAGAAAGCGGAAAATATACGGTCGTCATCAGATCTACTAGCTCGAGGATAACTGTTTACGGCGGTAATTAGGCTCTGACGCGTTTACACTAAACAGTTACCCGAGAGCTAGATATTCCCATATGTACATATAGCCGGCGTTTGATTCTCTTTCTTGCATATTACATGTCAATTATTTTCGGAATAGAAATTATGAAAACTGAATATATTTTCATTACGCATTTTTTTTCTAATTGTAGCTCAGTAACTTACAACTTCATTCATAACGATTAAATGACGTCATCCTAATAACGCAATTCATTCATAAAAGGCGCGCGGCATGACGTCATTTCAAGCACGCGACTTGTCTAAGATAGAATTTTCTAGCACCGGTGTAAACGGTAGATAAACCTTTCTGATATGCAAGAAATATTCGGACTCAACATTTAGGAATATTTC